TTCATAGACATGCAAGCTGTAGTTCTGCTATTAAAGTTCCTCCGGCTGTACGGCAGTGGGAAGGGCAGAGAATTAACCATCAGGAGGCTCTCGGTGCCCTCCATCCCTTCTCACCTTTCGTAACTGCTTCAACAAACACTGACCAGTGCCAGATTCTATGCTGCTTTCTAAAATCAGAACTTAGAGGCACAGCAAGGAATAAGATACAGTCTCTTTGCCCACCTGGGACTCAGGAATGGGCTCCGGAAGTTCTCTGTATCCCTCTGAAGTGACAGGCAAAATGTTGTGTGTATGTGCACATCTGTGGATCTGTCTCTACTGAGTGACCTGTAATTATCACTGGATTCTGAATCCAAAAAGATCAGCGATTAATTGGAATCCATAGGCAGCTTTGACAGCTCCCTGTCCTTCATCCCCAGTCACATACAAACCAATCACCCAGGCTCATCAGTTTTTCCCTAAATTGCTGTAGATCTAGCCCCTTCTCTCCATGCCCCCACCCTGCTCCAAGCTGCCCTTATCTCAGTGGGTGACTGAAAATAGCCTCCTCGGTGTCCCCGTGGAATCCTTTCCCTTCTCCAGTCTGCTCTCCAGAGGCCAGCACCCATTTTCTGATCTCTAATCTGATCATTTCAATCCTTTGTTTAGAGCCTTTTAATGACTTCCCACTGAATGCCAAAGACAAGTGATTAACTTCCACATGATCACTAGCAATCACAACAGCATCGCTCCCTACTATTCTCTCACTCCGTGAACTCCAGCCTCACCAAAGTTCTTTCACACCTTCCCATCTCCATCCGCTCTCCTGCCGCGAGACCTGTGTGCATTCTGTAATCTCCACCGGAGATCATAATTATCACTTCTCCTGGCCACTTCCCGTAACCTCTCGACCAGGTCAAGCACCCTATTGTGAAACCTCACGGCTCCATGAACTTCTTCATCAGCTCTGTGCAAGCCAGCATTACGCAGGCTTTGTATAACCCATTGATTAATTTCTGTCCGTCAGCAAACCTGACTATTGGCCATTGTATCCCCAGTGCTCCGCAGAATGCTGGGCACAGGGGAGGCGAGGGCGTGATTAACACCCATTGAATGGACGAGTGAGTGATCAAGTGGGTGCATAAATAAGCAGTGTGGCAGATGCTACAAGACAGCACGAAGTCCTGCTGGGCACAAGAGAGGGGGAGTCTCCCCAGCAGGTCGGGGGGCAGACCTGTGTCTCCTTCACCTTCAGTGTCCAGTCCAGGCTTATCACGTAGTGCAGGTGAGCAGCGTGTGTGGACTGAGCCTACGAAGCAGTGGAGTAGCAGCCGACTCTGCCTGGGAGAGTGGGCAGGGGCTTCCGGAGAAATCAGCATGGGCATCAGTCACGAAGGGAAACTGAGAGTACCAGGGGAAAGGGAGAGGGCAGTAGGCAAAGGGCACTTCCAACAGAAGGAACAAGTACAAGCCATGAAGCCACAGAAACGGTAGTAAACGTTCTGCGGAGGGGAAGGAGGGTGAGGGCAGAGATGTGGAGATGTGCTCCCGATTCTCCTTCTGGGAGGGAGGGACCCCTTGCCCAGCTGCTGGCTGTGCTGAGGACAGACACCTGCCATTGGCAGCTCCTGAGTGGGGGCTTCTGCTGCAGAGAGCCTCCTGGCCCAAGGTCATCCATTCCAGGAGCACTGGCGGAGATGCGGGTGCAAAGGCTGGCCATGTTGTGGCCCCCCAGCAGGGGACCATTCTGCAGCGCTTTATCTCCAGTGCTCCCAGTGGGGCTGGCAGAGGTCGCCATCATCACAGCTTCCCTGCTGCCTCTGCCCACCCTCCCACAGGTGTTGGTCTCCCTTCAGCACTAACCTCTGTATCAGGGTCAGTCTGTGAGAGGCTTCAAGGATGGGTTTACACAGGAGAACCAACTAGGAAGTGAGTTTGGAGCTAGATGGTGAAGCTCTCCAAAGCTGTGCCAAGAGCTGACAACTTTTTCTGTAAGCAGTGAGAAGCCAGCGAGGCCTTTCAAGCAGAAGGTGCTGAGGTTACAGTCCTGTATTGAAAGACCTCTCCACCTGCTGCGTGATGACAGAGGCTTGGCAGGAGGCCACTGGAGCAGTCCAGGAAGGAGAAAAGTGGGGTCCAAGCTGGAGAGGTGGTGGGTCATGGTGAGGGAGCATGGGGTTGGGAAATTTAGGAGGGAAAATCAATAGCCCCTTATGACACGCTGACTGTGGGTCAGAGTAAGGGACGAGTGAGCAATGACGCTGAGGGTGTATGTTAACTCCAGGCACAGTGGGGGAACACAGCTAACGTGGGGTATTAAGTAGCATCTATAGTTAACAACGCTGTATTATGTGCTTAAAATTTTACTAAGAGGATAGATCTTATGTTAAGCATTTTCATCACAAAAATAATAGTGACAATTAATCAATAGGGAAGTAGGAAACACTTTGGAGAGGATGGATTAGGGTGGTGATAGTTTCATGGGTGTACTCTTATCTCTAGACACATTCAGTTATGTATATTAAGTATGCGTAGCTTTTTGTAGGTCTATTATAACTCAGTACAGTGAGATTTAAATATATATATATATATATATATATATATATATATATATATATATATATATAGCAAACTCCTGGAAGAGGAGTTCTTTCTCCTAAGGCCTTTTCCAAGGCCCTCCCAGCTAGTGGAGAATGAAATGATAACTGGAATGTTGACAGCATTTAAATATATAATAAACTAGTAAAGTTTTATAGAAAAGAGCCATCATCAGATTTTTTATTTGTTATGATCTTAGGACTTCTTGTTTGATTATAATCAGACATTATGTTGCTAAAGAATATTCTTGTGTCAGAGAAATCTTCAAAGAAGAGACAGAGCAAAGGTGCGAATCTGCAGCACAGGAAGGCCAAGTCAGTGCTGAGTGAAGAACTTGGCGGGAGTACCATTCACTCAGCAAATGCTTATTGAATATTTCCTATGTGCCAAGCACTGTGTTGGGGGCTGGGGATACAATGATGCATAAAACCCCACAGCCACCATGTCAGGAAGCAAGCACGTAACCCAGAAAATTCAACATAAGTAAGTGATGCATTGCTGAGTCCAGCACGGTCCGAGCACATCAGTTCAGTTCAAACATCCTCTTTTTGGCATTTGCTACTGTGTGTATTTTTGAACTAGAATTACTTTTCATGCATTTTTCTCTGATTTTTCATAGTACAGTAGTAAGTGTAGACAGGCATACCGGTTCTGATCTGAACCCTTCCTAGTCTATGATCTTGAGCAAATTACACATCTTATCCAATGGGGACACTTATACCAATCTCCCTGGGTGCACTTGAAAACACACGAAGGTACTGTGTACAGTAGTTACTCCACTGCAGAGACATACCGTGTAAACACTTCTCTTGTGTGAATTCATCTGTACCAAATGGGGGTGCAAAGGAGTAGAGGGAAACAATCACTGAAAGATAGGACCAGGACTGACTACATAACTTGTGGGGCCCAGAGGAAAATAAAATTGAGAGGCCCTTGTTCAAAAACCACTAAGATTTTCAAGATGGTAACAGCAGAGCTTTGAGTCAAGTGCATCACTCTACAGGAAGCCACCCTGGATACGCCTTTCCCATTCCTATTCTCTCAGTGGTTCTTGGTTTCCATGGACTTCTAATACGGTGAGCTTGCTGTTCTGTGATGAGTATAGATTCCAGTGAAAAAATATATGTCTGTTTACCTGTTTTGTGTTTACACTGGCCACTAACCAGAAGTAATCTATGAATCTACATAAAACCATGTAGTCTGCCCTTTGATTTAAGGGATTTTCAAGGGACGGTCTTATTTTATGTTTCCCTTTACACACTTTCTAAAACCTGCAGGAGATGATAGTCTGCAGCTGTCATTTCTCCTGGGACTTCTAGAATAGGAGCCAACCTTGAGCCAAGGTCTGGATGGCCTGCTTTCTATACAGAACCTCATTCAACCCTCCAGCAACCCAGTAAGGGAGATGGTACCACTCTGATTGCCCAAAGGAAGAGAAAGCTGAGACCCGGAGCAGGGAACCGATTTGCTCAAATTACCCAGCAAATTAGTGGCAGCTCTGAGATTTCAGTTCGGGTCTTTGGACTCTAAGGTCCATGTTCTCTCAATGATGTCTCAATAAATGTTTGCTCCTTCCAGCTCTCTTTTTTTTTTCTTTAACAAATCTTGCCCCAACCCTTTGAAGTGTAGAATTGTTTGATGAACAGGAAATACACTTTTTTGCATCCTCATAGAAGAGACTGGTTCAGAACTTCAGTTCAAGCATGTAAGGGGGGAGGTGGAGCCACAGGAGAGCTTGAGAGTCTAACTTGTACCTCTGGAGCTCTGATTGTCTGATGGTAAAAACTCAGGGCTGACGTCACTAACCTTGAGCCACCCAAATGCGGGCCCATGTGGAGAGAATGTTATTAAGGGGAACGATAATAAAGGTCACTTTAGAATGAGTGATGGATGTAATTAACGTTATTGACAATGAAAAATCTCAGTCGCTGAGAGACAAATGAGTCAACAGTGGGCTTCATGTTGAAACCACATGCCGCCTATTGCTGCTCAAACACTTAACCCCCCAAAAAGGCAATTTCTTGATCAACGCATACGAAATTTTGAGTTGATAACACCCTGTAACAAGTAGGATAAAAGCAGGCTGTGTGTCATATTTTCAGAGCCCGTATGTGCACACACCCGCACAGATTTATATGCATAATTCTGGGCTTGTCGCTCCCCTCTAAGAGTTTTTGTCTTCTCCATATGCATACCTGTGAATCCATTACCACAATCATGATAATAAACATCCATCACCCCCAAGTTTCCTCCCGCCCGTCCCTGTTCCCAGGCAGTCACCGACCCACCTTCTGTCACTATGTATCACTACATATATCACATCAGTTTGCATTTTCTAGAATTTTGTATAAATAGAACCAGTGAGTGAGCATGTACCTTTTTTCTGGCCTGGTTTCCTTCACTCGGCATGATTATTCTGAGACTTACCCATGTTGTAGCTACCACCTGGCACTTTGCATGTGCAGCACGTCCACTGCATGGACATAACACAGTTTCTCTCTCGACCTGTTGATAGACATTTAGGTTGTTTCCAGCATTTGATTATAACAAATAAAGCTGCTATGAACATTCATGTACAAAAAAAAGTTTTTGTCTTCTCTTAGCATTAAGGCCTTTTGTAACTCAACCCCAGTTTCCCTCCCTATGATGGCCCTCCCTGGTCCCTTCACTAATACCCAAATTCTGCTTGTCATTTCAGAAGCAGCTTTACCTAGACCCGAAGCCTGCCTTGGTCTCCGAGTCAGAAAGGCAGATCGTAAAAGGGCATGACCTGTTTGCAGAAGAGTGAGAAGTTTAATGTGTTCCCCAGCTTTAGACCAGAATGCCCTTCGGCCACCTCGCCATCTGGCCTGAATGCCAGCTCCATGTTGCGTTAAGCACTCCTTTCTCCAAGAGTCATCAGCGCTTAGTTCATGCATCTGGCATAGGGCTCCGCACAGTGCACCGCACTGCATAGATTCCATCTTCCTCTTATGCTCAGAAAATATCTGATATATGACAGAATGGACACGTGGGAGCACCTTCCCCACAGAATCATGGGACTCGTGAGAGTAGCATCCTTATATTGCTCATTTGTGCCCTTCCTTCTGTGCTTGGCATATCGTTTTGAACAGAATAGGTGCTCCGTAATACAAAAGAGACACACTAGCATCCATCCGATTGTTACGAATGATCATGCATTTGTCACATTCTACATGTCATTTGGTGCCTCTTGAAAACAGAGACAAACTGACTATCTGATAACACAGACATTTTACCAGACGCAGGAGGAGTGCGAGGAAAAATATCTGCTGGACTAACACAGATGTTACTGTGTCAAAATACTCAAAAGTTGAACACTGCGTAGGCTGTGTAACTGATAGAACAGCGACTGTGAAAGGGCAGCTCAACACCTGTGCAAAAAGAATCATCCAGCCCATTTTGGTGAAGTAGAGTCATTAGTCTTGACCCGAGAAAGTTAATGCTGATGGCAATAATAGCTACTGCCTTTTAGGGATTTACCAGGTGCCAAATGTTGCTAAACTCTTTAGAATATTAGCATCTCAAATCCTCTCAACAGCCCTGTGAGGAAAGAACCACCATCATCATCATCATCATTATTATTATTCCCTTCCATGTCCCGATTTGGAGATGGAGTTTCAGAGAGGTACAATAATTTGCCCAAAGCTGCAGAGCTGGTAGGTAAAAGAGTCAGATTCAAATCCAGGGCTGCTGCTCTCAAAGCCCAAGCTCACACTAAGCTAGTCTGTTCCGTAGGTAAAATAAGAACGTCGGGTGATGCTTTTAATTGAATTGAAGAGCGGATCGTCTATTACATAGACTCCAGTCTCCTCGTTTGACAAATAACAAAACTGAGCTCCAGAGAGGTGAAAAAAAATGCAGGGTCTTAGAATCCCATGACTGAAATGGACTGAAAAATTCACTCAAATACCCTTACATTCCAGCTGCTGTCTTAACATTTGCTTTTATTTTTAGCAGCTTTATTGAGATATGATTCACAAACCATATAACTTAGCCATTTAAAGTTACAATTCAGTGGATTTTAAAATAGTCACAGAGTTGTGTGACAATCACCACAGCCAAGTTTTAGAACGTTTTCATCACCCCCAAAAGAAACCCATTAGCAGCAGTCCACGTCCCACCCCAGCCCTTGTCTTAGGCGACTGCAAATTTGTCTCTATGGATTTGCCTATTTGCATCACTTCATATAAATGCAACCATACAGTATGTGGTCTTATGTGACTGACTTCTTTTACTTGGCATAACATCTGCTTTTGATATCTTGAAGTCACCTCAAATTCGTATGTGGCAGCAAATTAGTGGCAGCAACAGGGAATGGCAGAGGGAGAGATCATTTTTTCATTCACTCTTCACTAGCCCCCCCGCCCCACAAGCTACCCCCAAATGAACAGCATCTAAGTTAGGAGAGCATGCTTGATACTTGTGATGTGTTGAACTGTGCTCCACTCTCAAAGCACATGTGTTGGAGTCCCAAACCCCAGGACCTCAGAAAGCGAGCTCATCTGGAGATAGGGTCTTCACTGAGGTAACACAATTAAAATGAAGGCTTTAGAAGGGGCTCTAGTCCAGTATAACTGGTGTCCTCATAAGGAGGGGAAATTTGAACGCGGACACACACAGGGCGAATGATGCAGGAAGATTGAAGTTATGACATCACAAGCCAAAGAGCTCCCAGAAGCTGGGAGAAGGGCCTGGAGATTTTCCCTCAGAGCCCTCAGAATGAACCAGCCCTGCTGACACCTTGATTTTTGAACGTCTAGCCTCCGGAACTGTAAGATAATCAACTTCTGTTATTTAAACCACCCAGTTTGTGGTACTTTGTTAGAGCAGTGCTAGTAAACTAATATAATATGTAAACACAGCTTCTGTCCAAGTCTCCTCATCAAGTCCTCCACCCCAGCCAAAGTCTGAAAATCACCATCTCTCTAAAATTAAATCCGTGGGATTTTCACCCAGTCCAGGCCTCCTTCTAAAGCTCCCTATCTTAGGCAATGGCACTACTATCCAAACAATTGTGCAAGTCAGAATTCTACAAGTCACCACTGACTCCGCACCCTCTGATCTCTCACACACACACACACACACAACATGTACACACAGAGCTCTAGGCAAAGAGTTTTATAAAAGGATTCTAACAAGACTTTGAAGACAAACAACGCCAAGACTGTTTCAAATATTCTCGATCAATAAAACTGAAACTTGCAAATTCTTTTATGAAATCAGCAAATTATTATCATTACCTAAAAAAAAAGAAGAGAATATCACAGAATCTCAGCAAAGATTATCCATACAAATATACAACGAATAATCTATTTTGAGCAAGTATAAATTTGTTCAGGAATGCAGGTCTACTTCCTCTCAATCTACTGGCCCAGAATGTTATTATACAAGAAAATCAGGCCAGTATGACTTGCCTGTTAAAACCCTGTATTGCATATCGCTCTGTAACCTAATTTATTCTCAGTATTTCTAAATGGTTGTTTCATGGTTTTATCAGGAATCTTTATAAGTCGTTTTTGGCTCTGGACACCATGTTTTTCCCTTTTTAAAATACACTAATGGTGTTGCCAAAACTTAAGCTATTGAAATGTCTATCTACACAGAGCCTTTTGCCAACATAGGTGCAGAAGAGACCCTCACTGCCAACATTTAATGGAGGTGGCCAGTTACATAACAGTCAAAAACAAACTTTCCTGCATATGACTTTGAATTTTAAAGCCAAAAATCCACTTACTGGGAAAAAATTTCCTGGAAAAAATTCCTTAGATCTGAAATCCAAACCAACTCAATGTCACTGCTATGATTATCTATTACTGTGTAACAGAATTATCCCCTGAATGGAAGAAAAATTTATTAGTATCTTCCCTGGCCCAGCAGATTGAGCGAGCCCCACTGGTTGGTTCTCCCTCTGGGTCTCTCCTGTGGCTGCAGCCTGTGGACAGTGACCTATGCTGATCTAAAGCCTTACCTGGGGTGCAGGTCCAGGATGGCTCACTCACATGGCTGGCAATTGATGCAGGCTATTGGCAGGGAGCTCAGAGGGGATGGCTGTGCAAGACACTCTTTGAAACTCAGGTAGTCAGTGCTGCCAGAGAGGTAAGTCCAGGGACTTTAACAGGCACGGCATCCAACAACTGGCTGCAGCAGCCCACTGTCAGCTCCATTATAACTTCTACAGCACAAAGACACATCATCGAAAGCCCTTTAAAGTTATGCAAGGATCCTATGACATTCAGAAGTCTGGTTCCCAGTCCTGTGCGGAAACCTCTACAACACCACTTCTGACATCCTTGGAGTGAACACTCAGCTTTGAGTTGGAGAAGCCTGGGTTCCCAGCTAGTATATTTGGCAACTTTCTAAACTTCCTCTTTAAAAGAGAGATAGCATTATCCAACTTGCAAAGTTGTGCTGAGATAAAAAAGGTACTTTGTACACTGCTTGGTATCTGGTAGGGGGTTAATGAATGATAATCATTATCATCACCATTAATATCACTGTTTTGCAGAGAAAAGAAAGACTATATTTGGAAAAAAAGAAATTATTTTTTAATATTTTGAACGTCTATAGCCTAAGATGCCATGCTATGCCCTTCTTTTATTTTACCATGGGTTTCATTTTCATAAAAAGTCCAGTAGACTATTGGAGCTATGTTCTTTCATTCTGTTTCCCACCTGAACATATTTTCAATCCACGTATGGGAAAAAGTGTTTGTGTGTGTTTGTGTGTGTGTAAGCACAGGGAAAGGATTGGAAGAGTATAGAACGATGTTAAAACTGATCATCTTTGGATGATGAGATTAGTCACGCCTTTACAATTTCCCCCACATTACAAAGTGTTTATAATAAACAATACCCTTAAATCACCCAAAAGAATAACGAGCACAGTGTGTTTCCATATATGTCAGACTTCTTGGCCAGATTATAAAATATAAAGCACAATATAATTACTTTTCCTGCCGTCTTGTGGAGCCTATGAACAATGGAATATAGCACTTCTGTGGCTGAAATGCCCATTAATTTATCCTCCCTCATCTCTCCATCTGCAGTCAACAAGCAGACATTGAGATCTGCAATTTGCCAGACACTCTGACAGACGCTGAAGATGCGCAGATGAAATGAGACCCTTAACTCCTCTTTAAAAACTCTACTCATTCCTGAAGCTTCCCCTGCCTGTCAGCTTCCGGTGCAACCTTCCCTCAGTCCTCCCTACAGGTCTCTCCCTCTTTGTCACCCCTGGCAGTGTGGCTGGTATGTCTACACCTCTGCCACAGTTCTCACTACAGCTTGAGCTGTGTCAGAGGAACCGGGGCTTGTACTCTTGCCTCAGTGGACCGTGCGCTCCTTGGAGGCAGGGACTGACCTCTCTCTGTCACTCTTCACTCTGATTCATTCACTAGCTCTAGTAGCACCCAAAGTTGAGCGCTGAATTGAATGTTGTTCAACTCCCTCATTTTATAGCTTTTAAGTAACTCAAATCAAGAGGTT